GATGGATGGATGGATGGATATATATAATCTTGTGTAAATAACAGATACAAATGTATGATGTAAATTTGATGGAAAATACCACACAAACAAATCCATGTTTAATAATTTCACTCCCTCTTTTCTGGTGTTTAAAAAGGAGTTTTAACAATATGTCATAAAAATATCTAACTCTAATAATGAGAAAACTTAAAAAAATAAATGATTCATTTGTGAACTTTATTAAATATTATTGTATGAAATATTCCCCCTGGCTTTTGTTTATGTGTTCAAWTGTCTGTTGATAACTGCCTTGTATTGATTTTGTTATTTTTTTGCTAATAAAAAAGAAGATAAATCTCGTGTGAAGATGCACTTAGATCTTATTTGTTAATTTTTTTCCTTTAGATTAAATTGAACAATTACAAACATGGCAGATCCCATCATAAAAGACCTGAAATACTTTTTATTACTGTATTATTTTACTTGACATAGAGTGAAATATAAAAACACAAATACAAATACTTCAAAAAATAAATCTAGATGTATTTAATTGTGTATTTTTAACTGCGTGATTTTCTACATGTAATACATCTCTCAGAGTGTTTGTTTATTAAACACGTGTCTGACGCCTGCTCTCTGATTGGTCGGTCTGTGGTTTCCGTTAGCCCCGCCCCTATCCGGGTCCATTCATGAGCGGCAGTTCAGCCATCATCAGTGTTTCTGTGTGCGGATAACCACGTTAGTGTCGTGTGCTCAGTGAGGTCAGAGCCCACCATGCCTGGACTGCTGCTGGGAGACGAGCTGCCGAACTTCGAGGCCGACACCACGACCGGAAGGATCAAGTTCCACGACTTTCTGGGAGACTCGTAAGTGCGCGTGCGTTGAGGGCTTCTTTAGGCTAATGTTGGAAGCTCTGCTGACTTTGCGTCGTCACGTGGTCAAACTGATCGTATCTTGTGAAACAACACACTGAGCTGTGGACCTGTCTTTGTCTGACTTTTCAACATGTAACAAGAAGAAAAACAAGCTAAAACTACAAACTACATTAAAAATGCAACAATTATTCTAAAACCATGATTAGGTGGTGTGTGTGTGTGTGTGTGTGTGTGTGTGTGTGTGTGTGTGTGTGTGTGTGTGTGTGTGTGT